CACACATACACACATACACATACATATACATACACATACATATACATACATACCTACATATACATACTGTACACATACATACATGCACACACACACATACACACATACACATACATATACATACACATACATATACATACATACCTACATATACATACTGTACACATACATACATGCACACACACACATACACACATACACATACATATACATACACATACATATACATACATACCTACATATACATACTGTACACATACATACATGCACACACACACATACACACATACACATACACATACACCTACATACATATACATACATACCTACATATACATACTGTACACATACATACATGCACACACACACATACACACATACACATACATATACATACACATACACCTACATACATATACATACATACCTACATATACATACTGTACACATACATACATGCACACACACACATACACACATACACATACATATACATACACATACACCTACATACATATACATACATACCTACATATACATACTGTACACATACATACATGCACACACACACATACACACATACACATACATATACATACACATACACCTACATACATATACATACATACCTACATATACATACTGTACACATACATACATGCACACACACACATACACACATACACATACATATACATACACATACACCTACATACATATACATACATACCTACATATACATACATACATACATTCATATACATACATACACACATACATACCCATACATATACATGCCCATATACATACATGCACACATACATACACATATCCTTTGTCAGTGCCCGAATAGAAAACCCAGGATGTAAACACCTGTTTGTGTGCAGTTGTGATCATGCATGGATCTCTCCAATGGAATGTTTCAAAGTGAGTGTGGGGGGACCACAGACGCGACCCGCAAAGCCGGAAGTATCAAGTATCAAATAGTATTGTAAGTAACTCATCAGCTGTGATATTAATTATAACATATAGAGAATGGAGAAAATGGTAGAATTCATCCAGGCTAGGCAAGTAGCTAGCCAAACAAGTCTCTGCTTTATTTTATTTATTTAACCTTTTCATACCCCAAGCTATATGAGTGGTGTCAAGGTTGATAAGATATTAACTACTGATAACTACAGAACATCCATCCATTTTCTATATCCACTTCTTCCTTTCAGGGTCACTGGTGCTCATATCCAGCAGTCAGAGTGCGAGGGACCACTCACCACTAGTAGTGCACCACTCAGATGTTAACAACTTTTTAAAATGTAGAAGAACAACCTTAAAAAAAAGGGTAGCGCCTCTTATGACTGCATGACACAGGCACCAATTCTCCCATGTTTGTTTGTATTGTCTTTCTCTGAATGGGTTGTACTGAACTGTATTTTCTTTGTGATTAACAGTGCGATGAGAAATAAAATTATCTTAACTCTCTTAGTCTTAGCCTGCCACTATCAAACATTAGGCCAATTTTTCTCTTTAGTTTTACTGTGACAGAAGATTCCTCAGATGAGTTTATTTTCTTACAGACAAACTCATGGTGTTCAGTGTGTAACACAAACAACAATATACAAACAATAAATGTATAACAACTGTATGTTATTRATTCTAAGTATTTAGAAAAAAGCACTTCAAATGGATGGAAAATGCAKTTATGAGTAGATTTTTTTCAAAAATTTCAGGGGTCTGCATCTGGACCCTTCTATAGTACCACTTGTGCTGCTGGTAAGCATGAATACATTTAGGTGTCCCTCCGTGCCACCAGCAAATGTTGGCAGGTAAATGTCAGTAATAATCACATCATATATATTTTGACGAGGTCTTTGCTTGTTAAGCTGTATGTGCATTTCATTAAATTATAATGCAAATACAACACAAATTAAACCAAGACTTAGATCARTTGTCACTTTGATCAGGACATTAATGTCTGAATGAGYCTCGTGCTACTTTAGATTCAACAAGTTGGGCCCAGGGTTGAAAAGGTGAAGGACCCCTGCTTTAAGTCATAGAAGTTAAGAAAATGTTCACAAATACAAATCCAGTAAACAGACTAACCTTAAAGAGTTGTTGATTCTTCCTGTTTTCATAAAATAATAATAGTTTCCAGACAGTATGCTCTAACACCCACCAAAAGCACAGAAGAGATCTTCTTAGCAAGCGAAGGGTTAATATGCCAGGCGTGGCCAAGACTCCAGCCTTTCAGGTCGAATATGGCCTTCAGACCACGCCTCTGAGTTTCTGTCTCCATAGAGATGATTTCTGATGTCATCAAGCTGATCCTGAACACCTGGAAGGCTGACCAGTCCTTTGGGTTCCACCGACCTGCAGACAAACAAACAACTGTGCTCAGAAGTTTACAAATCATTTGTCACATTATTATCAGGCTTTCATTTGATTTGATGATTCATTTGCACCATTACTGTGTGCATTTATTTTATGTCTCTATAAAAAACTATTACAAGCAGAGATAAATGCACCTGAAACAGGTAGACTAGTGCAGTGGTTCCTAACCTATTTTCTTCAAAGCCCACCTTTCTTACTTCATGGCCAAGTTGAACAGAGAGTCTGAGTCTTAATCTATCATAAACCCTAACGTAGCTTTACTCCTCTCTGTCCAGYCTTGTCTTTGTTTTTCTCTGTCTTCCAGAGTTGTGTGAGTTTCAATGTTCTTGGTGTGTTTCGAATATGTTTCTTAAAAATGGTCTCCCAAATGCTCTAAGCAAATAAGAAATGCTCTCAGTACTTGAACTGAACATTGTTGAACCGAACAGAAAGAGGCTGTTCTGATGGATGCTACAGACCACATCTGCAGACTCTTCAGCCCAACTTTATGGGGTTTATCTTTTAAAGTGACTGAACTTTGATTTTTCTAACAAATATTTTAAAAAATTTTTGTTTTTACTTCATTAGAGAATTACTCAAGGTGAACTGGGTTCTTTTTGAAAGCCGTTTCCTACCAAAGCGGTGCGAACCAGACACAGCTGAACCTGAAACCTGTTTGTTGAAAACACGCTGCACATTCTCCATGTGAGGAGATCACCTCAGAATCAGAATCAGAATAGCTTTATTGTCATTCACACACATCAAAGATGCAATGCAGAACAAAATTTGCAGTTTAGAACATCTGTTTGAAGAAAGACACACATAAAAATCATGGGGGAACGGATGAACAGGTCTTGCACTACATGGTCGCGCTACCTTTTGCAGCTTGGAAAACACACAATAGGAGAGGTGAGTTCAAAAAAGATGCTCTGATTCTATATTTACTCATAAACACTGAATCATTTACACAAAAAAACACTCACAAGAGCAAGGCAGCTAAGGAGGGGAGGGAGGGGGCTGGAGATCAAACACATGGCACTGGGGCAGGATTCGGTGGAGCCGGCGACGTTATAGGTTAATACTCCATGCTGGAACCAATCCAAGACCAGGACCCGCCAGAGTCCAGAGACCAGATCTTATCCTCTCAAGCTCAGTCCCAGAGTTCAGGGTTTCCACTTTCTCCATCACCACAGCCTTCAGACTGATCCCACATGGATGACACRGGGTAGGGAGTGGGAGAATCAAGCCTTTGTTGACATATCCACCCAGGGAAGTTTTGATAACTGCCAACTGACCAAGGCCAGCAGCTGCTGGGATCCGAAAGATAAACACAATTGTTTTGGGACAAGCAGCCTCGAATTTCATACCACTTTACAGTCTTAACTGCATCTCTGAAATGGCGGGAAAAAATGCAGAATGTTCCGAATTTCATCACCTCCTCCCCTCTTTCCGTCTGAAACTTCACCCAGGTGTAATCCTACATCTCATGGGCACGCTCCTGAACTGTGATTCTCATCACAATCACGTCCAGTTTGCGACTTAATTCCCCCAGCATCTAAGTCTGTGCTTTACCAGTACGGGAGATTCCATGCATAGATCCTGACAGCTTGTCACAGGCCCGGACTGCTGTCAGGATTGCTTTCATTTTCCGATAAGCCAGAACTCCTCCACAGCCAATCAGCAGGAATCCAGTTATCATGAATCCAAATATGTACAAATCTTCCACATCTTCAATGGAAAATGGCACCAAACAGATCAGGTTCCACCATGTTCCAGGGTCTTTCATTTGTCCATGGGACTTCAACTTGTGAACATGTAACATCCAGTTCTCAGCTCCTCCTGCCTGGGTCAGAGACCCCACGTTACTGGGAAGAGCCTCCTGACGGTCAGATCTCCAGATCCTTGATTTCTCATTATGGTTTGGTGCCAAATTATTTAATTTTTGTTCTGGTTAATAGTACTTTTATTTTACTTTCATTTGAGTAAAGCTTTAATCCTGACTTTATTGGAGTTAGTCAGCTTCAGGTTTTCTCTCCTCTTCATCCACAGTAATCTAAAATATAAACCTTTAGTTTGGACCTTACAATATTTCATCACTTACTCACATTACCATAAATTACTGGAACCATCAAACTCATAATTCATTCTTTGGTTTGTAAATAGCTAGTAAATATCCCCTTTTTCTAATAAAACCACAAACTATAAGTACCGTGTCTGTATTCTTGTGTTTCAGAGGGTCAAACTGGGCCACRAACCTAGATTCCAATGCATAAATCGGAGCTGAGGCTAAATAAACTAGAGCTATTGGTAATCTAAACACAGGTTACAAGATTAAAAAGCATGCTTTATGAACTGCACAGTCCCTCTGTGGTACTACAGTATCTTTAATGGAATGTGTGAGATCAAACACTTCTACACTGTTTCAGAGGTATAGGTTGTTGAATTTGTATGTTCCAACATAAGGCACTTTCAGTGATCTCTATAATGTTGGACACAGCAAACGCTCCGACCCTGCTGGAATTATTGTTGGGTCAGAGGACTKGTACAAATGGTAAGCAGACTGGACAGTGAATGCAGGCAGGAAGACAGCCTGCCGTCTGGCAGTATTCAGAAGACAAATGAGCTGAACTGTTTTTTTAACCAGTCCAGTTGTCTCATCTGCCACACAAGCTTTCACCTCACACATAACTCAGCTGTGGTGAGTTTTGATGGACAGCAGATCTTCTCCTTCCCCTCCCCCACTGGAGTATCAGACTCCGTCCCTCACGTCTGTGTCTGCAGGCTATCAGGAGACGGCTGGAGACTCCCCCTGGAAAGGGTGCAGTGTCTGATGTTCAGTCCTAGGATCCAACAGCTAGCTTTTTGTCTTTCTAGCAACACCTCTTCAACTTGAGCATGAGCCAAGTGCTCTGGAAGACAACCTACCTGTTTCTAGTCTTAAATCAGTAAATACATACTGACCTCAATAGCTGTGTTTCCATTGACCATGAAAATGTTATAATTTTGAAAAGAAATTTGCTCAATGGAAACAAGTCAATTTCGAAAAAAATACGTTTTTTGACAAAATGTTTTTGCGCTAGGATGAGGTGGTATTTCGGTCGTATCTAAATTGGTGTTTTTCACAAAACTGCAATGGAAACAGTTTTTTCACATCACAGGAGTCACGTGATCAACAACCGTCTGTTCCTACTGGTGAAAAAGACGATGATGAAGAAGATAACAGGAAGTAGAAGTACAAACCCCAAAACCAGAAAAGTTGGCACGTTGTGTAAATCGTAAATAAAAACAGAATACAATGACTTGCAAATCATTTTCAACCTATATTCAATTGAACACACTGCAAAGACCACATMTCTAACGTTCGAACTGGTAAACTTTGTTATTTTTTGCAAATATYAGCTCATTTGGAATTTGATGCCTGCAACATGTTTCAAAAAAGCTGGCACAAGTGACAAAGAAGACAGAGAAATTTGAGGAATGCTCATCAAACACTTTTTTGGAATATCCCACAGGTGAACATGCTAATTGGGAACAGGTGGGTGCCATGATTGGGTATAAAAGCAGCTTCCTTGACATGCTCAGTCATTCACTTAGAAGGATGGGGCAAGGGTCACCACTTTGTGAACRAATGCGTGGGCAAATTGTCGAACAGTTCAAGAACAACTTTTYTCAACGAGCTATTGCAAGGAATTTAGGAATTTCACCATCTACGGTCCGTAATATCATCAAAAGATTCAGAGAATCTGGAGAAATCACTACASGTAAGGGGCAAGGCCGAAAACCAACATTGAATGCCCGTGACCTTCGATCCCTCAGGCGGTACTGCATCAAAAACCGACATCAATGTGTAAAGGATATCACCACATGGGCTCAGGAATACTTCAGAAAACCACTGTCAGTAACTACAGTTCGTCGCTACATCTGTGAGTGCAAGTTAAAGCTCTACTGATGTGGGTATCAGTCACCTGTGAACCATAGCCATGTGATGTGAGTATGAGTCACCTGTGAACGATAGCCGTGTGATGTGAGTATG